GTTACTCATCTCATTTGAGATACGATTAATTTTGATGTCATTTTTGTAACGAGCGTGGGAAAAAAGGAAAACAGAAAATTCTGAGCCCCCCTACGAGGAATCGAGCCGTAGACCTTGGGATTTCACGGCCCGACGCTCTACCACTGAGCTACATTGAACATAGTTTGACGGGGTATTCCCACTTTCACCACGCTTTCATGAAAAACGTCCTGCTTACTGTTAGGTCAGTAATAACGAAAGGAAGCTCAGAAATAATCAACTGGGCCCGTTTAACAGTGTCACAATTGTAACGCGAAATGGCTTGGAATATATTTGTGAAAAAAGGCGTTGTGTTATACAATCTAAATATATCTTCTCTAACAGAGCTTTGAAACTGGAAATCGTACAAACAGCACAATGAAAGAGGTCGTAATACTCAAACCACGGGTCAAATGGAGGCCATAATTAGTTTTAAAGATAAGGATGACTGAATTCTTCCTTGGTTCGCAAGGCATTGAACGAGAGGCATGCATGATTTGTTAACACGAGTGTAAAATTTTATTCTGCCGATTGGCTAGTGCCTGTTGTTTCTATATCCAAAAACTGGTTTGGCAAGATAAGCTGCCAAAAGCAGAAGACAACTGTTTCAGCCTCTAAGGTTTATGCCGACATCGTTCAATAAATCTGGATCAGCTGGGTCAATTAGCTTTTTCTTTTTCTTTGTTAATAAGTTATTAAACAACAGTTTATTGATGGGGCAAGACTCCGGGGTATTTAATATCTGTGTTCAATTGGCCGTATCATGCGCGTCTAAGCCACAGCTGATTTGTGTTGAAATTTGGCAAGCACTAAATTTCTCAAAGCAGTTGATCCTATAGAGAAAAAGAAATATTGATACGAAGCTTTTAAAATCGGCCTTTTTCTAAAGGATGCCCAAGATTATTAAATATTCTTTCAAAAAGTCTGTACAACAAAAGGTGTCGTGAAGTCTAATAAATTTCCCTACATACTAGCATGTTCTTCGCGGGCTCTTGACGACATGTCGTGCGTTGCAAAACAAAATGCAAATTGCGTCTTTTCTGAAAAAGCTAGTGGTGCGGATGAGAAACAAATTAGCGTTCTTCTCTGAAGATTTTGACAGGTAAACAAAGACAAGTACCGTAAGAAAACCGCTAATTTGAAGCGATTATTAAACGCTTTTTGTTTATGTAGTTTTTTCAAGAAAATTGAGTGAAGAGGAAATGTCAAATGTGCCTATTTGCGAAAAAATTTGGCTGTAGGCGTTTTAGGAATAGTAACGATAGCAAAATAACAATGCCGGTTAGGAAGCAATAATTAAACGAGACTAACATGATCGTTGCATTCTCACTTCGGAAAGAAATGTATGTATAATATTGAATAAAATGAAGTTTACTGTGAAAAATAACCAAATTTCTCAAAATAAACTAAATTATATTTGTTTTATCATAATACGCTGAGTTTTCGTTCGACAATTCTGAATGAGTTTCTTGCGTCAGCTGGGTCACGCACAGAAAGGCATGAAATACAGAAAGGTTAGCTGCAATTAAACGCACAAAACAGCTGAAGATAGTGGAAAGTTATAAATGCGTGATTTAATTTTGATCTTATTCCTTCAAGTAGTCGATGAAGTCTCAAATTTTAATAACGCAAGAATAAGAGGGGCAATATTGATTCAAAAATGTTTTATCTCTTCGATGAAGTTCCCGTTAATTACACAATCTACTCACATGTTGTAAAAGTGAAAACCAAACTTACCGAAAACAAAGTTATCGGGTCGGAAAACTTTTCCAAACGGCGCAGAGCGAAGCGAGTCCATCGTACCTGACTCCAAGTCGACAAGAACAGACCGTGGTACATATCTACTTTCTACCCGGAAAAAATGAAAGACTCAAAATTAAATACAGCACTATTCAGACTTTTACAGCATGCATCACAGTACGAATTCGACTTGGCCACGATAAGGGAACTTAATAAGAAGTTTTTGATAACAGAATTACCATTCACTACTCACCAGAACCCTCAGCAAAATAAACATCAATTTTCTCCAACTGGGAATTACAGTTCCCTATGTAGCGTCCTTCTTCGTCTATTCCATGTTCAGAGCAAATGATTTCCCAAAGCTGCGACAAGAGCGGACATTTAGGATTACGAAGTGTAAAATTAAACCACAGACAAAAGAAATAAAGCCCCTTTAAATTTCGTAGCAACACGCAAATTAGTGCCAGAACACCAAACCACCTTGTAACCAATTTGGTTTCCACACTGACCGACTTGGACGTTGATAATTTCCCGCATTACATTGAGAAGCACGAGGCGTCTTTCCCTCGCATGAACCCACAGTTTGGGCTCATTTCGTTGTCGGAAATCAGCCTCTATCTAGCCCGTTCGACCGGACTATTGATAAATCTGCGTCTTGTGCGATAATATCAATAATTAATGTTTTCCTCTATCTGTTCTTTCAAAATCTGTGCGTGAACTAAAACAGGAACCAGAAACCGGTAGGTTTGTTGAATTTTGTCGAAACCCTCGTTTCCATGCCCTAGACACTTCCGGCTGGTTGTTTTCACCCGGGTCTCTTACACTACCATATGTACACTTTGTTTTCCTGCTCCCCCTTTCAATCAAAGTCAAACCAACTCAAATATTTAAGAAGAATGTGATAAAAGAAGAGAAAAAAATACTCTCCGCGAGAAGTTCTCTCATCCTTTGTCAAAAGCTCGAATGGAAATTCTGGTTCTAACTAGGAGAGTTCAGCAACTCGGGTGCATCCTTCCTTAAACCAGCGGGTGATATTATATTTTTGCGGGCAACTTTGCTGACGTATGAAATTATATTGCAGTCAGTCGCGAATTGAGTCAAATCTTGGCATTCCTCCGTTCATTCCGTGTATTGGCTCGACTCTCATTCTGTCGATGTTATTGTAAAACGTTTTTGACTTCCTTGCTTTAGTGACTCGTAATTGATTGCGAGCTTACTCTCCTAAATTTCAGGCGCAAGTCAAGACCCGGCCCGTGTGTCCAGAAAATTGAGAGCGACTGATGTCCAAACTACCGCGCGCTGCTATTGAAGAGAAAGGATGGGCAGTTCTTTTTTTCTTTCCTCAGCTCAGTCTTCTTCTTTTTGTCAAATATTAAAATTTTTATCAGAGAAAAATGTGAGAAAAAAAGGGTCTCGTTAACTCTTCAGAGGATGAAAAGCCATCCCTGAAAACATACGAACGCAGAAATGCAAACGTTTGGAACTATGCAAGATATCTTCAGCTCCTCTCTGTTCAACTGGAGTCATCCACATCATTCCTCGCGACAGATTAAAAAGTGACTCTTTTTCTGGAATATTTTCCTATACTTTCAGGTTTTCAGGCATTTATCGATAAAAAGTAGCCCAATATCTAGGCTTTTGACATAATCATGAAAATTCTAATATCGCACGAAAACGTATGTTTTCTTCAGTGCTATTGCCACTACTAAGTTTTAACAAATACAGATTCTCTAAGAGTTTCACATGTTACAATAACGGCAATATCTGGCAAATCACACTACACTCAAATATACAAAAATTTAATTTTCCACAGCCATTAAGGTCCTACCGAAACATCTCGTTTCTTCTTTTACGGAAGAGCTGCTCTTAACTTTCCTGGCACATTTGTTTCCAATTCAAATATATTGGACTATATTTACTTTTGCCTCGATGAATCAATACCATAAAAACGCAATTCAAAAATACATCAAACTTTAATAACAGCCCTTTAAGTAATATCCTTTACAGTGGAAACGATCTCAAGAAATAAGAGGAGTTCTTATGCTGCCTCTCCCTCTTCTTCTTCCTCATCAAACTCCCCTTCCTCTTCTGCTGTGGCATCCTGGTACTGCTGATACTCCGACACAAGATCATTCATGTTCGATTCAGCCTAAAGAGAGTTGAAATGTTTGTGGCAATCAAATCCAATTCTCAGAACATGCATTTTAATCTCAGAGCATGCATCAAGTTGTTAAGCTATGATATTTGACTCCTGGATAGAAGGAAACTTTGACAAGTACATTAATGAAATAGGAATGATGACGCATTCTCAGATGATTATACTACACGCTCATTGAACTAATTCAAAACGAGTGGCAACTGCTTCGAGAATTTTGGTCTCAAAACGGAGCTCAAACTTTTTTTCCGTTAAGTCCGTCTTCTCTCTTGATATGATATTTTTCACCCAAGTCAGGACAAAAATGCACATTATTTACTAAAGCTCACTATATCGAATAGGCCCAAAACTAGAAGGTTGCAAACGGGTTTGAAAATTTAAACTACTCAGGAAATGAATACTACAAAAACCCATTGAATATCCCTTTATATAGCGAAATATTGTCATATCACCTCAGTGAACTCCATCTCATCCATACCCTCTCCAGTGTACCAATGCAAGAAAGCTTTACGCCTGAACATAGCGGTAAACTGCTCACTAATGCGTTTGAATAATTCTTGAATGGCTGTGCTGTTACCGACAAAGGTAGCAGACATTTTCAGACCGCGAGGAGGAATGTCGCAGACGGCTGTTTTGACATTGTTGGGAATCCATTCCACGAAGTAGGAGCTGTTCTTGTTCTGCACGTTCAACATCTGCTCATCAACTTCCTTCATGGACATACGGCCACGGAACATCGCTGCAACCGTCAAATAACGTCCATGCCTTGGATCACAGGCAGCCATCATGTTTTTAGCATCAAACATCTGCTGGGTAAGCTCTGGTACTGTGAGTGCACGGTACTGCTGGGATCCTCTGCTGGTGAGAGGAGCAAATCCAGGCATGAAGAAGTGAAGACGCGGGAAAGGAACCATGTTCACTGCTAATTTCCTAAGATCGGCATTCAGCTGGAAAATGTAAGAGAAAAATTCGTTGAAAACTGAAGGTCTTAAGCTGGTTCTGATTTTATAGATGGAGAATTTTACCTGGCCAGGAAATCGCAAGCAGGTTGTGACGCCGCTCATCGTAGCTGACACAAGATGGTTCAAATCTCCGTACGTTGGTGTGGTGAGCTTCAGAGTTCTGAAGCAGATATCGTACAGGGCCTCATTGTCGATGCAGTAGGTTTCATCCGTATTCTCTACCAATTGGTGAACTGACAACGTAGCATTGTAAGGCTCCACAACGGTGTCTGATACTTTTGGCGATGGTACGACGCTGAATGTGTTCATGATTCTGTCAGGATATTCTTCTCTGATCTTCGAAATAAGAAGGGTTCCCATGCCTGAGCCGGTGCCACCGCCCAGTGAGTGTGTGAGCTGAAAGCCTTGAAGGCAGTCACAACTCTCGGCTTCCTTACGAACAACATCGAGTACAGAGTCTACCAACTCGGCTCCTTCGGTATAATGGCCCTTTGCCCAGTTGTTTCCAGCTCCGCTTTGACCTGTTAAGAACAGAAAAAAAATACAGCATTATTCTTAATTCATCGTTAGTAATAAAAGTTTGGTTATTACTTTGCTGCTAATGTTACTCAGTTGACTGAACTTTAGATGCTGACATATGCATCCAAGAACGGTACGTTTCCTAAAATAGCGACGTAATAACAGGAAAAAAAGCTTTATTTTTCGTCTTAAAAACTTGCCTCAGTCACTCATATGGCTAGAGACTTTGTACCCTAAACAGGTTAGGGCGTGAGAAGAGAAGTTTTCGTATTGTTTACCCTTTGCGAATATTTCTATTACAGCATTCTTTGATATTATTATTCCTTCCCCCGTGCGCAGATTTAGATAAAGCCTGCTTCTATCTCTTGTAAAATGTTTTGCAAAATGGCGCCCAAGTTTTAGTCTCAACATTAAAACTTTAAGTGTGTAAGTAAAATGCTGAGAATCTAGCATCAAAATTTTAAAGGCTTCACCTTTTGTTCTTGCAGATTTAAAAGCTAAATAAATACAATGTCATAATCGCAGTTGGTGGGTCAGAATTGGAAGGAATTTTATTTATAAACTAAATACCTGTTTGGCGACTCAGCGGGCTTAACAGGTCGCCATAAATTTTACATGAGATTGAATGAAGTTATTTCCTTAAAGACCACATTTTACTCACCGAAAACAAAATTGTCGGGTCGGAAAATCTGTCCGAATGGACCAGAACGGACTGAATCCATTGTACCAGGCTCCAAATCGACAAGAACCGCTCTGGGCACATATTTCCCTCCTAGAGTTTTGAAAACAAGCAAGTAGTACCAGACTCTGTGTTCAAATGATCAATCTTCAAGGTTCTTAGTGAATGAAAAGCGACAGTTTTCTGTTTTTTACCTTATTCTAAGTAAAAATTGGAAAAAATACCTGTAGCTTCGTTGTAATAAACGTTGATCCTTTCCAACTGGAGGTCAGAATCTCCATGGTAGGTTCCTGTTGGATCGATGCCGTGCTCGTCCGAGATGACCTCCCAGAACTGAATTGAAAGAAAGGCGCAAAAAAGTGACGAGTGAGCGTCTTAAATAAACATGACCATGAATTTACCTCTCCTAACCTTTGCACCGATTTGGTTGCCACATTGGCCAGCTTGAAGATGTACAATTTCACGCATTTTTGGTTTCTCTCGCCTTCACGACACACACTTCAAGGAAAAACTGGTTGTCTTTTGATGTTGTAAAACGCGTCAGTGGTTTCTGACGTATTACATTACCATGGAGATTTGTAATGACTGGCGAATAAACGAAAAGCGCGCGAAAACAGCGCGAGCCGCGTTAAACACGGCGCTAAAAATTAAAGTGAACTTGGAGGGGTTTTCCTGCTCAAATTTTTTTCGCTCGATCAAACGTTCTCTTCATGTTAAGCCATTTTTCCTTCTTTACAAATTCCTACAGTTCTCGATTTAAGTATATTCCCAGCTACTTACAGCGTATGACCATGACTGTAATAACTTTAATTGCGCTGTATTGTGAGGATAGTAAACTCTCAAATCGTTTCTACACCGGGTTTGCTTTATTACAAGCCATGGTATATGGAGCGCCAAATCAGTCAATATTCCCTCTGTGTTTCTGTGACTCAGTTTACTTTCTATATGGTGAGTTCGACTTTTTATAAGGTCAACTTTTTTTTTATACGGTCAACTTTTTACTTTTTATACGGTCAATTTTTTACTTTTTATATCGGTCAGTGTCAAGGGCAGACTGCAGATTTCAGACTGCAGACTGTAGACCGGGAGTTAAGCGTAGACTGTAGGTAAAATGCAGACTGAAGACTGTAGACCAGGGGTAAAATGCTGACTCGGTTCAAAAACGACCCGCTTCCCCGGAAAAACTTTAAGAGTGAGCTGGGATCGAGGCCGCGTAAGTTGTGAGAGGCTGGCAATAATCGTCATGAGGATTGATGTTTCGAACTTCACGTCCTCGTTTTGGCGTTGACATATTGTTCTTGAGGTAACAACAATTAGAAACGTTAGTGTTGGAATATGCAGTTCACAGTTAGCTAAACACATTTCCTCTATTCATCATATAAGGAATAAACAGTTCTGCTGAGTAACATTAGGTTACTTTAACATACATGTAGCTCATGTATACTTTGTGCGGCCTTAAAAGTAGTAGCGATAGACTTTCTTTGCACATGGGCAATTTCGATTACTTGGACGATAAAAACCTGTTTATCGTACCTTCGTTTTGTGCTGCGAAGGTAGGCGTGATTTTGGAATGGTCCTTTGTATCAGAAGCTTCAAGACATTCAACGCTTCGCTCTTGCGCTTCACGATCAGGTCAATAACGCGGTCATAAAAGGTTGATTGTTTTAGAAGAGACTCCGCATTTTACCCTCAGTCTGCGGTCTGCAGTCTAAATTTTACACTGACCGATATAAAAAGGAAAAAGTTGACCATAAAAAATTTGAGTTGACCATCTATGAAGTAAAAAGTTGACCGTATAAAAAGTCGAATTGACCACATAAAAAGTAAACTGGGACACAGAAATACAAAGAGAATATGGACTGGTTTGGCGCCCCTAGCACGCGATAAGGCTGTTTCAGGGCATGAAGACGTTTTAAGATATTCTTGTATTTTGAAAAGGAATAGTACACAGGATAAACCTCGAGTAGCCTCTTGCAACGAGTTTTGCTCCCTTTCCACCCTATTACCCCTAGGATTTTTATCAGGGTGGCAATGCATTTTTGGAATGGGCCACAGGAATCCTTCACAAGAACTTATGGGGCACTCCACCCATTGAGCGGCGTGAATGTCGTAGTGGAGCAATTTATTTTGCTCTTCAAAGTGTTACCGTGCAGCCCTACACGATACCTTTCTTCCTCTCTCTCGTATGACGCAGGTCGCAAACGCAAATATTCAGAAAATTTAGAGAAAAGACGAAGATAATTATGTTGCAGGAATTTGTTGTCTTTATTGACCAAAAACCGTTCACAATTTAAAATACGGAAAGACAAGTTTAAATTCGGTTACTACGGAATCAAATTTTCAGAGTGTTTCAAGGTTCTATCTACATTTTATGAAAAAAAAAAGCTGAAAAGAGGTTTTCAAGTTTAGTTATTTGATAGAACAAAACCAGTGGTTCTACTGAAACGAGGTAAGCAGTTAGAACATCCTGTTTACTTTCTAGATAAGAAAAAGTTCATGTGTTTCCTGCGAATTGTTACTTTATGTCTTCACACAGTTTATGCAGCATCTTCATCTCCAGCCTCTTCCTCCTCGTCAAACTCTCCTTCGTCTTCTGCTGTGGCATCCTGGTACTGTTGGTACTCAGAAACAAGATCGTTCATGTTGGATTCAGCCTGTAAAAGAATTACGCCTCATTAATTGAAGGGAACATTGGTTGTAATATGTTGAAGATCCACACACAACAGTCGCTCAATTCATTCTCGATAAGCTTGAAAAACAAGATCTTTACCTCAGTGAACTCCATCTCATCCATACCCTCTCCAGTGTACCAATGCAAGAAAGCTTTACGCCTGAACATAGCGGTAAACTGTTCGCTAATTCGCTTGAACAGTTCCTGGATGGCTGTGCTGTTGCCGATGAAGGTAGAGGACATTTTCAGTCCACGGGGAGGGATATCACAGACAGCGGTCTTCACGTTGTTGGGGATCCATTCCACAAAGTAGGAGCTGTTCTTGTTCTGCACGTTTAACATCTGTTCATCAACTTCCTTCATGGACATACGGCCACGGAACATTGTTGCCACAGTTAGGTAACGTCCATGCCTTGGGTCACAAGCAGCCATCATGTTCTTGGCGTCAAACATCTGCTGGGTAAGTTCTGGTACTGTGAGTGCACGGTACTGCTGGGATCCTCTGCTGGTGAGAGGAGCAAATCCAGGCATGAAGAAGTGAAGACGCGGGAAAGGAACCATGTTCACTGCCAACTTCCTGAGATCAGCATTCAACTGTGAAATATAATAGGAGTAAAATTAGTTTTGAAACCTACGTTGCTTCAGTTCCTATCTCTTTCTGAAGCGAACAATATAAGATAGGTAACTTTTAAAAAGGAAAAAGGCGAGGGAAAAACTCACAATAAAAAGTAAGATTGTAATTTATTGCTAGAGCACTTGCTGGGATTGTGTGTTCGTGGTATGTTTATGTTTCTCTTTAATGCAAAGAGGTGGAAAAACACAGGCGTTGTACTATTCAATCAGTTCATAATTGAAAGAGTGAACAGTTTAATCCTATTACAGCTCTTGCTGATCTTATGCAGACTTCGTGTGGCATTTATTCAAGGATTTTTTAAACACCAATCGCAAACTGCTTGATAAAATCGAAACAACTGTCACCTCTTGCTGTGTTCCGTCCGCAGCGCTACAACTTGCTTAAGGCATTGCTCACGCAACATGACCAGAATGTAAAAAAAAAAAAAGAACCCCACAAAAACAAAACGTTTAACCAGATTCTGTATGAATATGGTTTTAATTATCACTCGTAAGAATTTTGTTTGTGTTTGTTGACATGGAAAGATTTGCACGACTGATTTTCGGTTTGCTTGGCGACGCTTTAGTTTACAGTATAGCGGCTTGTTGCTATGCTGTACAGATCTTTGAGAGCAAACGGCAAAATCAGCACTTTTTTGGGAAGAAATAAGCTCGCCAGAAATTACAAACAGAACATAAATCGCTTTGAAAAAGGGAGGTTTCAATAATCTTCAGAGATATTTTAGACCTTACATGCGAATCTACAAAACGATTTCTGCTTTTCGTAACATGGCTTGGTTCGTGTCACAATAAATTTTTTCCAGGCGATTTAAACTTATTTTATTTTTGCCTCCTCACTGTTAAGCATCTTCCTAAACTTATTGTCATGAAAGGCTTGAAGATGGTATCCTTTCGTTGCCGTAATCAATAATTTAGAGCAATCAAGTCTTGTATTCTTAAAGGACGCGTTCCTGAATAGGCCCTTTCTTTCCCAATTCAACAAACCAATAAATTATTCTATCATAATTTTTCATAACCTTGTTGCTGACGTTGAAAGAAAACGGACAGAATCTGTTGTTATCATCCCCTAGAATAAGAAATTTTACTAAAAAGTTTTTGAGGATGGAAGTATTAAAAGAGGTTTTCAGACAAGAAGAGCAGCTGCTTGTCGGAGACAAGTCGCCAAACTAAGCCGCTTATCATAATCATAGTTTGTTTGAGTAGTCAAAGCAGTAATCAAAATTGTCTTTCCAGAGACTGCACACGTTTTTGCTTACGCTCAGCTTGTAACTGCACTTTAATCTTAATTTTGATTTTTTTTCTCGAAAAAACGAGGGGACAAAGGTAATGGCAATTTGGAACGCATGACAATCACTATCGTTTTCGACCCTTCCACGAATGACAAAATTAATGCGTAGCTGTTCCTTGAAGAGTCTTTCTTGAGCCCGATGATATCAGTCCCAAACGGTAAATATCGCTAAATACGCGCGTTTTTCCCAATAAATCTAGCTTTCCTAAAACTAGAAACATTTTCTGATAGTGTGCACGCGATTTATAGTTTCAACTGATAATCGATAACCACTGGCTGCGCGCCCATTTCTTAACCGTTAAGAATACTGCTTTCTTCGTTAAAATTTCGTCAGTGATCGATTTTGGAGAATAAATCGACATTTACCTGGCCAGGGAATCGAAGGCAAGTTGTTACACCGCTCATGGTAGCTGATACAAGGTGGTTCAAGTCACCATAGGTTGGTGTGGTAAGCTTCAGAGTTCTGAAGCAGATATCGTAGAGTGCTTCATTGTCGATGCAGTATGTTTCATCGGTGTTCTCAACCAACTGATGGACGGACAGTGTGGCGTTGTAAGGCTCCACAACGGTGTCTGATACTTTTGGTGATGGCACGACGCTGAATGTGTTCATGATTCTGTCTGGATATTCTTCTCTAATCTTCGAAATAAGAAGAGTTCCCATACCCGAGCCGGTTCCGCCGCCAAGCGAGTGTGTGAGTTGAAAACCTTGCAGACAGTCACAGCCTTCTGCTTCTTTGCGAACCACATCGAGTACAGAGTCTACCAATTCGGCTCCTTCGGTGTAGTGTCCTTTAGCCCAGTTATTTCCAGCTCCGCTTTGACCTACGATGAAACGTGGCGATGTGTCAATTCGTTATACAGATATTAGGGTGTAGCTGTCGAACGAGTCTTACGATCGATTACTTTTAACTGTGAAATCGAAACTTGAACTTACCGAAGACGAAGTTGTCTGGCCTGAAGATTTGCCCAAAGGGACCTGAACGGACGGAATCCATCGTACCAGGTTCCAAATCGACAAGACAGGCTCTGGGAACATACTTTCCACCTAAAATATTTGATGAGTCGACAACAACGGTTAGCAGGGCCGAAGGTTAAAATATAGAGCCAAAGCGGCCACAAAATGGTTTGAAAAGAGGATCTAGATGATCAAACTTCACAATTTGACAGTTACCTGTAGCTTCATTATAATAAACGTTGATCCTTTCCAACTGGAGGTCGGAATCACCGTGGTAAGTGCCAGTTGGATCAATGCCGTGCTCATCCGAGATTACCTCCCAGAACTGAAAAGCGAGAGTAAACTTGAGCGCAAACGAACGAAAATCTTATATTTCTGACTTTAGATATGTTCTAACCTTAGCTCCGATTTGGTTACCGCACTGGCCAGCCTGAAGATGAACAATTTCTCGCATCTTTGAAAATTTTTTCAGCGAACGTTGAAGGTTCTACTTTCCCTTGTCTTCAAGTTTGCAAAATGTCGTCGGGGAGATTGTGGCGCGGTTTTATTTAACGACTAATTTATGCGAGGCTTCGTGTGTCAACAATAGGCTCACATCCATATACAGTAGTGCTTTTGTGACGTCATTAAGGCTAGCCATCGAATGTTGTTGATGGTGTTTATTGGTGATCATGGTAAAACTCGACACCTGAAAGCTATTGTGCGAAAGACAAAGCTAAATAAAAGCTTAACCAATAAAAATCCTGCTGCGGTAACACATGATGTCTTTGAACAGGCAAAATGCAAATTTCAGTGGCGTTAGTGACAACAGTTTTTCTTGAGGAGACCGCAATAAACCGCACTTAAACATTATTGTATGATATTCTCTTATTACAATTTCTCACTCTGTGTCTCTACGAAGGTTGTCACGGTGTCTGCCGCTGCGATACTCAACAGGACATCTTATGATGAATTTATGCGATACTGAACTCATGCGGCGTAATAAATTTATGTCATCTGGAACGTGTCATATCATAGCAACGGAAGGGGTGCGGCTCATTAAATTCGCTCTAGTATCTTGAGCATTTCGCTCTGGCATAGCAGCCGCCCCCTTTCCTCCCCTTCCCGTCCCAGATTTTTTTTTGTGGGGGGGGGAGGGGGTGTTTGTACACCGGCTGGTCGAGATAGGACATCTTTTCATAACTTTTTTACCCATCATTTCGAACACCAGATGGAAAAAAATAAGGTTTCTTTGGTGTACTTTTCTCTGATTTTACATTCCGGAGAGCAGTGTAGTATGAAATTATTTACGAGGGCCGTCGCGAGTATTTTAATTAACGATAGTAGACTACCGGTAATGCTAAATTAATCGTGCTCGATATCACACTTGTTAACTATCATTTTTTTCCCTAAGAATCAATATATTTGTTTTTCAGGAGATCTTATCATTGAGAGGAAAAGTTTTAATTTTTCATTTTTCGTGCGGCGACCACAGGAACTGCACTGCACGTCATAACCCTTTTGACTACTTTGACTACATTATTCGAACAAGTCCGATTGAAATAAATCACTTGTACTAAAACAACTGATGCAATATTCGTTATTGTTTCTAACATAGCATAACTTTAATATAAATTAACCAACCATACAATTTTAGAGTGTCAAAAATCGTTATATCATGCTGCGAACTCTTGACTGTGAAATGAGAAACAATGTCAAATTATCAGTGTTCACAGTGTATGGCAATAGCCAAGTCTCCAGATTTTAATAGTTTAGAAGCGATAATTTCCTTTCAAGTTGTTTTCTTCTTCACATTCGTTTTCCATCAAGCTCTACTGAATTCGTCGGGCACTTCAGCGACGTACATTGAGAAATTTTTTCTCCCCAACGTTTAGTGAGAAAAGGAACGAGCTGAATCGAAGGTTAGCACTACGTAATTTGAATGAATATATCAAACGAGTTCCATCGTCTTAACATCGACAGTCGACAGTAACAAAGGCTCGAAAGGAGACTAATACAGCTGTGCTATCGGTCGAGATATTGGCTCATTAAAAAGTGCCCTTTGTCGAGTGTCAGCTAGAAATTCATTCGTCGCATGCACGTCACAGAAATTTTTGGTACGGCCTTCACCTCAGAAAGAGATCCAACATATAGTAGCCACTAAGCTACACTATTTGTTATTTAAAAGAGATTGTATGATCGTTTTCATGCCATTTTTATCTTCGCCTTGCTCTTCCTGAACTTTCTACCTCCATATCACTTCCATGATATTTGGCAATTTGTCACCGTCCCAGACTGCCTCCTCGTTCGAAATCTCTGTGAGAGTCTGGTGAGAAGATCACGATGGAGTCTCTTCGTCCAAATCGGCAACTATTGAATCCAAAATTTGAAGGTTATAAACTAGCTTTGGACCCCCTGACACTGTCGTCCACTAGATTACTTTCTTCAGTGAATAATGTACCGCTCAGAGAGGAGTCGTTTTCCCTTCAACACATTCGAGCCTTTGGAAATCATAACCATCTGGTGATTGACTCTTGGACTGATGGCGGGAAAACTGAAGTTGTTTATTTCGTTAATGAAAACTACGAAGTTGAAAGGGCAGTTGTCAAAGTAAGTGAACCAATAAGTAAAATCGTGAGATACGATGAAAAACATCGAAAGGTGAAAATAATGTTAAATTGTTTCCTTGAACGTTTGTGAAACGTGAAGCTCTTTGTCAGTTTCCTCTCGTGTGGGTAAGGAGAATTTGATGGAGCATCAGAACCTTTTCCCAATAGTTAACTCTTGAACTCTAAGTAGTGATTCAGCAGACAGACGATGACAACAGACAAAGTTGTCAACTAGATTGTCCTGTTTTGATTATTTATTTTGATGATCTGATTTGACCCATAACCTTTGTTACCGAGATTTTGAAATTGGCATGGAAAACGATTGAAATAAATTTTGAAGTTATACTTAAAAAATGTGCAATAGTTTGAATATTAAATGTTTATTTAATTTACTTTTGTTTTAATACAAGGTTGGAATGCTCATAGAGGGATTGAAAATCTAAATATGCAACTTAAAATGATAAAAAATATCTAACTTGTGTCTCTTTATAATTTTAAGGACACAGATGTTTCATCCATTGATACAGTATTCAAAACACCGGCAGTAGAAAAAACTGAAGAAAGCTTGAACTCAACACTGTTTCTTCCTTCACAATCTCTGGCTTGTTTGTGTGATGGAAGTGGGAAACTCTACTTGCTGCAAACAGGTGACAGAATAAGAGATTGTTCTCAGAATACAAGTTGGAAGGTAGGCTCAGTTTACCAGTTTGACCAGCCATCTTTGATCCTTCATGCTGTTCAAAGCCCAGAAACTGGATGTGTCAGTTGCTTGTTATTGAGTATCACGGAAAATGATGCTTCTACGTCAGTGAAAGATGCTCACAATGTTCATTTGGAGTTGATCACCTTTTCACAAGTGAATTGCTCAGCCACAGGTTCCATAAGTTACAGTTGCGAGATGCTGCAACAGTTCAGAGGTCACAGTGCACCAGTGTATGCTGGCATTGAGTGTGGTGGTACAGCTATTTTGGTGGCAAGTGAAAGACCATTTTCTCTGGTGAAAGGTACCTTATTTATTTGTGGGATTAACATTTTTTTGGAGTAGTTTAACAAGGAATATACCACATAACAACTCTGCATCTGAATTTAGCGATAGAACTCTGTTTAGAAGCTAAATATAGTTTCTTGTCTTTGAGGCATAATGAACGTAATTTGTGCAGTGATCACAATTATTGTTAACATCTTCCCTTATCTGTTTGTCAATACTCTATCACCAGTATGAATAATGATCATCTCCATACTGCTTTCTGTATATTTCCCAAGGAGCTGACAAGGAGAGTTCATTTAAAAATCAAAGGCTAATTCAGTTAGCGATTATTTCCTTTATTCTCCTCACTTAAATGCACGATTCAGAGTTGATATTGTTAGGAGAAATTAGAAGCTGGTCGCTCTTAGGGGTCCAAGGGTTAAGTTTAATGAAGATTTTGGAAATAGAGAAGGTTCCTTTTTATCTGACATGACCTGTTTTTTCTTTTTTTGGAATAGGTGACAGTGAGGAAAAGCCATCAGGGTCATTTCATTCTGCAGATGATGTTATGGCTGAGGTAAAGTCCCACAGTTCTTCAGTAAAAGTATACAAATGGTCACAGGATAGTGAAGACGTCACTGTAAAATTTGTTCTACCAGATGGCACCAAGAAAGATGATATAGCTTGTAATGTAACAGCAGATTCTGTGGACCTTCAAATTGGGAAAGAGATTTTGTTGAGTGGTCCTCTTTATGCAAAAGTAAATTCAGAGGAAAGCACATGGACAGTCGAGGAAAATAGGTGACTTGCAGTACTTGTTTTCAGTCTTTATTTTTAAGTATCTTTTCTCTCTACCCCTTTTCTTTCTCTGTTACAAAATAGTTATGTTTAGAATTCAACTGGCATCACAAGAAACCCTCTTAAGCATCTCGGCCAAGCAAAAAGACTTAAAAATGGCTTGCACTCATTGGGAAGTGACATGTACTGTTCCATAATAATGAGAAATGACATTAGCAATTGATAATGCTTAACACTACTCAGTGTTCTCCTTTTCAGGCAGTAACTGGTAACATTTACTGCCTGTAGTACCTCTTATTACCGTTTAAAATTGCTTGGAATTCTTGAAAATTCAACTTGTAAAAGGATTGCTTTACTGGTTTGAAAATTTATTTTACCTGTCATGCTTAAAATAAGGGAGAACACTGCTACTTCTTTTAATTGTACATGTATCTAGAAAAGGAGAGATGGTAAATGTTTAGCTCTGTTGATAAATAAAGAAAGGATGTTACTCATGTTTTCACAATTTGGAGACAATTAAAAAATCTGTGTCCAGCCCACAGGGATTTTAATCTTTGGATTTTAATATATAGATTTAGCCAAGCCTAAAAGCAGAGCTCTTATTAGTTTATT